AAAATAGAAAAAGATTTAATCTCTTTGGTAATATCAGAAACGCTTGCTTTTCTGGTTTTCAATAAATTAAATTCAGTGTACGAACCATTAGCAACCAGCTGAGCTTTGACAATACCAGGTCGAGTAGCTTCGAATACAAAATGCTGATATTTTTGTAAATCACTCAATTTTTTAAAGAAAATTCCCAACACGGAATTAAGATCTAAGTATTGAAAGCCTTTTCCCGCTGTCATAACGCTGGACTTTGTTTAATCCTGCTGTACTTGATTTTTTCACGACCTCAATGATATGGTCCACACAATCTACTGTTGTCTTTATATAAAGCTTTTTAATCAATCCAAAACTACCGTCACATTTGAATTTAGTATGTCCAGGTACCATGAAATTTAATTCGATACTTTCATAATAACCGCAGATTACCAAATACAAGTAAAATCAAATGGTAGCATTATTTTTATTCCGCCCTCCTGCGTTGTCACAAGTAATCTTTAAATGCTTTTCACCTTTATTCAATCGCTTAATTTCATCGAATACCATGCTCAGCGTACATTGGGTCCTTTCCCTATAATTGAGAACGTAATTAATTTATTCGCGTATTGCTTCATCTTGAATACCAAATAAATGCACTTTACGCGGACTGAGATAATAAATCTTGCTTACCTGTTGATCGGAATGGGGCACGTGAACGTTTTGTGCTCAATCGTAGCTGTAATGAGCAGTCGCGTTTACACTACAATAATCAGCTTTACCTCTGGTTATAAAATGTTCGTCTACCAATTTTCTTTGTTCTTCTGCTAATTTGGTATTTTTGTGGTATTAGTTTCTCTCTAACTTAGCTTTAACTAGATGTTCTTTAAATTTTTTCAGTAAATTTTTCGCTTCTTCCTTACGAGCATTATACTGTAAGCCGTTCCGAAAATGTTGGCACGTGTCACATAAATTTGTTCTCGGACTCATAATTTGAATATAAGGCGTTAATTGATGCCATAACTTGCGAAACGCATCATATTTTAACAATTTTAACGTGGTATCGTTTCGAGACCTGCAATAAACAGATTTGTAACTCGTTTCGGTTGGTAAAAGCGTAAACGATTGAGTAATGCGATTGACGTTTCTACCAGGACTTGGTAGTCCATTAGTTTTCGAGAAAATTCTTTACGGCAGTAGCAACAGTTATATCAATGTTTTTCATCGCGGTACTCGTTTGATATTACCATGAACACGCGGTATTATATCATTCGTTGCTAGGTGATTTCTGACGTTTTCAAAGTGCGTGCGACCAATTCCTAACATATTAAGACACGTTTTCTGACAAAGCGGCGTATTGCGATCTCAGTAGTAAAACGTTCTTTTATTAGTACGCGTTTTCTTTTTAAGACGTCGACTAGCCGTTATTTCTCCCCCATTCATTGCTTTCAGCTGGGCTATTAAAAATATATCTTGTTCAGGTTTGGTAAGCGCTTGAAAGTCTTCTCGCCATTCAGCAAATTTTTCTTTGAGCAGCCTAGTCGAGCAACCGCAACCACAACCACAACCACATCCCACTTCCTCTCTCTAAAATTTCTAAAAATATTTTGTATAATTCTTGCCCAACCTGTTTTAGTTAGAGGTTTTGAACATTCGTAATCATAATGGTCTTCCATTAAATCGAATTGACTTGCTTTTGGACCTAAATTAACATTGACATTCATAAGTTTCATACATCGGAAACATATTGCAGTACCATCTTCATATGGTATACCTCTACTATAATTATATTTATAAAAATTCGCACCTTGAATGTATGAGGCATGAAGACAATACTGATGATAGGTACTACGTGGGCCTTCTGGACCTAATAACTCTTGAAGAGACATCCTAACACGGCATGCCCACTGAATAGTTGTTTCACCATCAAAGATCATACTAATAGAATCATAAGGCCTCTCATACTCAGCATCGATAATTCTATTAAGAACAGTATGTCCACCAGTTCTTGCAAACCTTTTATTTATATCGTGTTCTGGTCTCAACATGTTTAATGACTGTATGAGATTTATATCGAATTTAAGGATTTAGACCTATTCGATTTAGCCTTGCTAATAACTATATACTCTAGAATAATATGATTCAATTTTAGTGCAGATGCTCGAAGAGCGCCCCATAGGGACTGGGTTATTAGATGAGTTGTGTATATTCGTCATATTTGCGAGTGGCATATACGATGAGGCCAATCAAAATTTTGATTATTTTTATGTGCGATTAGGCAGGGCTAACTGTTAGATAATAATAACGGATAACTGACAACAATTAATGAATTGGTAGGTGTTAGTTCATTTTGACACTGCACATTTCATGTAGACATACGATTTAAATAGCGGTAAAGATTATTGCGAAGCAGGCCGGAGGCGCCTCTTTGAAGCATGACCCTTTGGGTCTACAAGAAATCGGGTCATTTAATCAGTGCATATAATTCATATGATACTGCATATAGTTGTAAAATAATAGAATTATAACTTTATTAATGTATGAATTCAGACGTGACATCGATGTCACTGGCGCAGTAAGGTAGCACAGTAATTCACTCGTTGTCTTCAAACATTGAATCAATATCTTAAATTCTTATTCCTTCATAGAATAATATACTTTTTTGGCTATAGAAGTTATTCTACGTAAATTTAAATCGGTAATATTAGGAAGGAGTGATTGATTTCGTTATATACTATCGTTCTTGCCGATTGAACATCAATATTATTCATAGACTTAACATCACTGACTCGATTTTTGTATGCTTTACAATAACAATACCAACACAAACTTTCCTTTTGTCAAACCTTCATTGCTACTCTAAATATTATTTTCCGATGCACACCCCACACCAAATACACGCATGCATATAGTTAAAAATTATAAGCTCGAAATGTGATAAAAAGATAAACACCATCAACCCAATCCAAGATCCATGTGAGAACATAAACTAATCTTTTTTAACAAAACCTACAATTTCAGGTCAATTTCCAGAGCATATTGCCTAAGACGATTAATCCAAGGTGGCCTATTCTTGAGAACAGTTCTCTTAGTGGTGTAAAGAACCTGCTCTTGGTAAGAGTTATATATTTCCTTCGGTAAGACAAAATAAAATTTGATATCCGAATTATCATCCTTAATATATTTTTCCAACCCACTCTTTATAATAGGATGATTCTCAGAAACAGTCATCTGGAAGAATGTGTCGGGAAAAACGAACGCATCAAAAGACGCATTATTCTTTTGAGTTGGAATACAATACATGTTAGGAACAATCTCACTAATGTCACTAAACAGCCGTTTTTTCCGAGTGGGTATTGATAGGTTTGAATTATTCGCCCCGAAGCAAGAGACAGTTGATGCGAATAAAGGGCGAGTCCTAAATGATCCTCCTTTTAATAACTTTCTGTGAGCGATCCGCTCGAATATAGCGCCCCGGAGTGAACTGTAATCGTTTATCGATGAGCTAGCCTTCACGAAATTCTCCAACTTGTCTCTATAATTCTTTATGAGTTTATCCATTATCTCTTCAGAAACATAATCAGACGCAAACTCTAGAGTTGACATTGAATAGAAAGGTTTTCCCTTCCCTATAACATTTTTCCTTTTATCTGGTCTAGTTACTGCGGGAGATTTTGACGTAGAGGACTCTCCAGGATTATCTTCTACTTCCGTTATTTCCACATCTTCCACACCTTCACCTCCTTCCTCTCCATCTTCTCCTTCATCCTCTCCTTTTGGTATGTTCGTGCAGATATGGACGATTTTATGACTGGCGCTATTATCATCTGTAGTCTCACCAACAAAATTTAACAAATTATCGTTAACCGAATTAATTGCCCTTAGAAGAAGATCTTGCTGAGAATCATTGAGAGCATAAAACAAGGTAAACCGAGGAATTCCACCCCATTCATTGTATAATTTCCGAACATATTCTTGAGTAAGATTACGGAAAAGCTTAGTCCTGCATGCATCGATCTCTTCCCAAGACCATACCGGCATGTACCGAATAGTTGTTCCAAGCTTGTCAAAGCTACTGTAGTGGCGTTTCTGGGGCGAACAGACGAGAATTGTCTTGGCGACATATTCCATCGGTTCCCTACCATCCACGATATACCAAACTTCTTCATTTCCCAAGTAATCTTTGAATGCACGAATATTGTCTACGGCATGACTAAAAACACCTTCCTCACTGAAGAGAATCGGAGACCTGTTAAGTTTGTGATATACAACTGTTTTACGTTGTTGTGAAAGGAGATAGAGTAGATAATAACCGAAGAAGGTTTTCCCAATTCCCGGATTGCCGGTAATACGCCAACGGCGGACATTTTCATTCTCAAAATAATATTAGACAGGTGGTGATAACATTCACGGATGAACAGAGTGGATATATTGGAACCTTGTTCATCTTTGCTAGAAGATAGTAAACGTCCCTTGATAATTCAAGAAACTGGCCACCATCATGCTTCTCAACTTTCCCACCCTTCAAAGCATTCCAAAACCTTCCCAGTTTTTCGTCATCGTTATCGTATTTTCTTCGTTTACTAGAGGATTCTATATATCAGAAGATTATTAACGTAACGAGAACGAAACAACGGCTATCGAAAATCAAGCCAAAACGCGTTCATTCCGTCGACTAAATTTATTACGACTTACCAGCAACGGGTTGATCTACGATAATGCGAATGTGTTTTTTTGTGGGTTTGACGATAAGAAGCAGGAAAGAACAGCACAAGAATAAGTAAGTATTCGGTATTATTGACACGGTTTGGGCGAGAATAACTTCACTTACTTCCTTGAATGTCATTAATCAAATTTACAAGTCTTACAGCTGGTGCTGGAGTGGACTTACAAGTATTTCATATTTTAGTGCGAGAAAGTCTACGCCCATAACTTCTTGAGCTGTTAAGGTGTTTATGTGATTATCGATGCTGTTTAACCTCCTTTTCAAAAAGCCATTAAGTTCTTCGGCATTAAATCCTCTCACATCCTCAACCGTTGGAAGATCAGATGAAGGAATAACAGGAACACTAAACATGACTTGCGATAGTACGTACGAATGGAAAAAATTTATTGTTTACAATACTACACATTAAAAATTCCAACATCACGTGGTCATCTCATTTTTGTGCGATGCCATATCCACATCACTAAGATTCTAACCGCAACTGAGATATACCTGGTTTTCATAGAATTGCTTTGTATTCACATAGTGGATATATAGGAAGCAACTCAACCGCGACTACATCGCACCTTAATCATACCTCCATCGCATCAATATTATAAGAATGTAAAAAGAAAATCGGACCGGATGATTTTATGACTAACCAGAATTGGGATTTCGTCTGAAGTGGTACAAAGAAAGGTGGATCCGGTTATTCTTAGTAATCGACGAAAAATATCTTTTTACGGTAATAACCAATTAATGTGTATCTGAAAATTAGAATTACATTAATATGCTCAGATTGAACGATTCTGATTTTTTATAAGTTTCGCCAGTATTTAAATCATAATAATATCCTTCATCATCGTCATCCGAAAATCCATAGAAGCTCACATCATCAGAGAAATTCTTATCATCTTCGTTGTTATTATCGGAGAATACTCGGCCGAAATTATATTCTTCTTCACCTTTGTGGAAATCCTTGTCATCATCGGGTTCATTTACCTCTTCCTTGGATAAAGATTTGTTATCTTCGCTTATCTTGCCTTCCGAATTAGAGATATGGGACATTGAGACAGAGGGAATGGTAGGAATGCATGTATCCGGTGAAGTTTCTTTATCTGCCTCAGTAGGAATACTTACTTCATTATCTGATATATCATTCAAGCTAGAGTTGGTCATATTAGAGCGTGAATTTTTTTCACGTTAGTATCACATTTTTCTGTGAAACAACTTACAGTGGGTGACCAAAAGTCTCCGACCACCCCTTAAAATTTTCGTTGATCATGCATAACTCCGTAACAAAACATCAGATTTCTATGAAACTTTAGCCGTAGTTTGCGCTTGTATTGAGCTACATTCCTGCAAAATTTCAACATAGATTAATATGTAAACTGTCAAG